TAAATTTAAATTAAGTTTTAAAATACTATTACAATGTGTAATAGCTAGAAATTCTTTTAAACTAAACTAGAAAGAAAAAATTATCATTATTTAAAATAGATATAAAATAATATTAAAATATAACAAGTATACTTACAAATTAAGTTTTTAGTTTCCATATATAAGGCCACTACTAAGAAAACACTAATAATTTTGATAAAATCATTTCTTGAAAGAAAGTAACTAATGTAAGAAGGCCACTTCCAAGAAGTGAAGTAATGAAGCAAAAGTCAAAAAGTAAGGAACGTTTTATTTTAGGGAAAATGATTTGATAGGGTAAGATATTTTTTAAAATGTACACATTTAGTTATTATTTTTTTTCTTGTAAAATAAACCCTTATATTTTATTTTTTGTAACAATGTAATCCTTGTGATCGGCTATACCCAGTATACCGGTCATATATAGATTTTCTTTTAGGGAAAATGACTTGATAGGGTAAGATACTTTTTGAATTGTACACATTTAGTCCTTATTCTCTTTTTTTTTTTTTTTTTTTTTTTTTTTTTTTTTTTTGTAAAATAACCCTTATACTTTATTAATATGTACACATTAGGTCATTTTCATCGGATTATACAGGTTTTGCTGATGTGTAAGCACAAGTGGCACTAAATAGCAATTAATTAACTTAGTCACCGGAGGTGGATGATCCTCCAACAACAAGAAAAGGGCGGCGACCCTTCTCTTTCTCGTCTCTCTTCATTCCGGTCGAACAGCAACATCCAAACACCCTTTACCTGTTGTGTTTCTCCGATCTATCTCTCTTTGCCTCCATCTTTGAGATATGTTGCCATAAAAGGAAGAAAGAATCGACGAGGGGGCTACCAGATCAGCTCCTCGCCGCCAACTACCGTCTCTACTTCCTCCTGCCTCCCCCTTCGACCTTGCTGTTTTTGCCATCATTCCTCCTTGCTACCAGTGATGTGTAGGAACACACAAAAGAGTCGACGGAGATTGGGGTTCTCCCTCTTTTTCATGATGAATAAAAGTTGGAAAAATCCCGTTGTGGATATGTGGATGCCACTTGGGTATTTCATTTTAACAAATAAAAGAAAGGGAAAATGAATTGATAGGGTAAGATACTTTTTGAAATGTAAATATTTAATCCTTATTTTTTTTTTTTTTTGTAAAATAAACCCTCCACGTCAGTAAAACCTGTAGAATCCGGTGAAAATGACCTAATGTATACATATTATTAAAGTATAAGAGTTTATTTTACAAGAAAAAAGAATAAGGACTAAATATGTACATTTCAAAAAATATCTTACCCTATTAAATCATTATCCCTTTATTTTATTTTCAAATATATTAATTAATTAATAAAGTAAAATTGAGTTAAAATGAGAAAAAATTGATACTGCAAAGAATTGAACAGGGATAATTCTACCAAACAAGACTCTTTCCAATTCCACCACGAAACAACTGTGAAACTATGACAGACTTCAATACTTTACGTCCCAATAATACAAAGTGGGTTTTTTTGGAAATAATTATTTATTTGAATTCAAAAATGAAGTTACATAATTAAATTCTTATCACCACCAAATATGATTGATTTTTTTTTTTACTATAGCATACTGAATCATATTATTCATTATCATTAATGTGAACGGTCGACTGACTTTACATTGCTAGATTATTCAAATACCGACATGTGTTACACAGATGACAGTATGAACCAACAAGAAGTAAAAGAAGATGAGCCACAAATTATTTAAATCACCACAATACCAGAAAAATAAAAAAGGACCAAAATTGTAAGTATCTGATAGTTGAAGGACGCTCTTCGAAACTTACTCTAAAATTAAAATTTAAACGGGAAAATAAGATTCGGTCAAACATATTTCAAACCGTCAAAGTTGACATCAATGAGGGCCCGTCGTCAACCGCTGTCGAAAACCAACGCCGCCGCTACCACCCCGGAAGAAGCCCGTGTAATCCCCACACGAACCACCCCGCCACAACCGAACATTGGTGGAGGACTCAGAAAAAAGGTTGTCGGATTCCGGCAATGGCTCCTCCTAGATTCTACAGGTCAGGCCCAAGTCGTTGAGGCCGGTAAATACGCTGTCATGCGGCGGACGGGCTTACCTGCACGCGATCTCCGTATTCTTGACCCCATTTTATCGTATCCCTCCACCGTACTCGGCAGAGAACGGGCTATCGTCATCAACCTCGAACACATTAAGGCCATAATCACCGCACATGAGGTGCTTTTGCTTAATTCAAAAGACCCATCTGTTGCTCCTTTCGTTGAAGAACTCCAACGCCGTATCCAGCGTCATCATCTCGCAACTGCATCGCAGGTTTTATCTTTCTTCCTTTTCCTTTCTCTAATCTGTATTCATCTCCATCATTCAGTAAATAAGAATATTAACAAACGTTTCTTTCTCTAATCTTTTACAATTATTTGTATTATGATGTTCTTTTGTAACAGGAGGGAAACTCTGATGAAACAAACTGGAGAAATTTATATGATTCAGGAGAACAACAATCCACAACCAGTCAAGAGAAAAGTGAAGAGGTTAAAACCGAAGGAATCCCTTCTCTTGATAGCCGAGATGGACTAAAACACCTTTGTTTTGAGTTCATTGCATTGGAGGCCTGCCTTGAGGCTGCTTGCAGTTCACTGGACAATGAGGTGAGTCCTTTTATCGTTGTTGAAGTTATCGCTTTGTGTTTAACGTTTTTCTTTTAACTTTATCATGAACTAGGCAAAAACGTTGGAGAGAGAAGCGCATCCAGCATTAGATAAGTTGACAACAAAGATTAGTACTCTGAATTTGGAACGTGTTCGTCAAATTAAAAGTAGGTTGGTTGCTATTTCAGGACGTGTTCAAAAGGTTTGTGGGTTTGAATAAACGCGTTAAATTTCATAGTTATCTTGAAGTATATCAACCCATTCTGTTTATGATGGATTCAAGATTATTAAAATTAGGTTAGGGATGAATTAGAGCAGTTGCTTGATGATGATGGTGATATGGCTGAAATGTATTTGACTCATAAACTGGAGCTACAACTCGAAAATGCTTCTGTAACTTCTGTAAATGAACATGATTTGGCGGATGAACAAGTTCTTGACACCGAAATGCATGACAGGTCTGTATTCCACTGCTAGTGGGTATATATGTGCTATAATTCGTATAACCCTACCTTGTTTTAGCCATTAACAGTTTGGAAGAGTAAGTACTAAATAGTTCAAGTTTATCAAAGATCACCCTAATCTAATCCACAAGAATATATTATTGTTATATGTGTTTGCATTCTATTAGGGATCCATGTGATCAGGGTCCTGTGGAAGGCAATGAGAGCATAGATGAAGATGATTTCCAAAGGATGAATAGCCAGCAAGAACGGTTTTTTGGATCGAATGTTTATGGAAGAGACAGTCGTGGGACCCGAATGACTAGCATGGCACGACATTGTATGAACAAACACCGTGATGTTGAAGAACTTGAAATGCTGTTGGAGGCATACTTTGTTGAGATCGATGGTACACTGAATAAATTATCCACGGTATGCATGCATGCATGTGACACTCTACCATTTGTGTTAAATGTTTCAAAATCCAAGTGGTTTATTAAAATTCCTCAAATATGGTTTTCCCAGTTGAGGGAATATGTGGAAGATACAGAAGACTACATCAACATAATGTTGGATGACAAGCAGAATCATCTTCTCCAAATGGGTGTCATGTTGTCAACAGCGAATCTGGTAGCGAGTGCATTCGTGGTTGTGGCTGGAATCTTTGGAATGAACATTAACATTGATCTTTTCAATGGTGACTCTCCTGCTGAGAAGGACATCGGTATGCGTAAATTTCTTTGGACTGTTGGTGGTGGTACCACTGGTAGCATTTTCTTATATTTTATGGCTATCTCTTGGTACAAGAACCAAAGGCTTCTAGAGTGATTAGATGTGGATATGCATATAGGATATGACCCATTTAGGAGAGTTATTGTAGGGTACGAGTAAATGATCTTGTACATGTATAGCAGCCACAATGACGTCAAATGGTATATACAACGTACCTAATGATAAGCGTTTAAACATTTAAAGCTCCATTTGCTGTTGTTCGAGCAGGAAGAAGCCAACATTTTTCTACTCCATTTGGACTGAGACGCAATGAGATAGAAATTGCATTTTTCTTGTCCTACCCAAAAGATGGAACAATGTAGGACTGGATACCCTGCTTGTCCATATCACTGTGATAGTTTCGTCGCATCTATTGTACATAAAAGCATAGCATCTATTATATATAAAAACATAGGCTACATGATCTTCGTGATCGTAGTTATAATTGAAGTTTAGTTTCAAAGAATAAAGAATGGTCATAGTAATATGGAAATACAAAGGAACAACTATACCCAAAAACAAATACACGAACACTTAGGTTGTTCGTTGTGGTCGGGTGGGTACCTCGTCACAACACTGTTCCACCAACTTCAAGAGTTAGTGTTTAGGCATGGAGAGGAAGAGATAAAGGGAAGGGGGGGGGGGGGGGGAGTCATCTCTCTCTCTCTCTCATATGAAAGTTTGTAACCCACCACATGCCACACCACAACTACGTGAGCCTATGGCGGTGTTCACATGTAGGGTTGGGTGCCACAACAACCATATTGAAGATCCGCAAGGACCATACCGGATGGTAACCCGCCACATCATTAAGTGGCTTTATGAGGGAACGAAGTGTGTGGAAACCTAGCGATTTAGTCTCTCTTACTTATTACGCCTGGTAACCCGCCACATCATCCCCGTTTGACACATCATCGATGACATGGCAAATCGTAATTACAACCCAACGACCCAAACGATGTCGAAACCTGGTTACTCAAACTGCATCCTAAACTTCAATCTCAATTGACAAAACCATGCCTTCACGATCATCTCCAAATCATAGTTGGTCACCCAACTATAGTCGGCACATGGCTAAGAATGTCTCCAACGAATCACCCATGAAGACATGGCGATGAATATGCTCCAGACACAATTGGAGTTATCGCTTGTAAGGGAGGAGATTGCAAACAACATTTGTGAACTACGATGTAGTGTCACTAGAGACCTGGACGCCCTAAGCCATGAAGTCAATGATGTTAGGGCAGATCAGCTCGATCTATCTAACATGTTTGCTGATTTGAAGAACCATTTATGTTCACTACAAGCATCATATGTTAACATCGTTTTGGGTAAAAACAAGTGCACCAAAGTCAAATGGGTTGTTGGGTGGGTTTTGTTGTCGCTGTTGTGGGGGGTGTTAACCTGCAAGTTCTTAAAATGACTGAAGAACTTTAGGTTACAACATTTCTGTCGTTGTTTTGAATTTTTTTTATGATGTGCATCTGGTTTATTGTCCTTATTAGAAAGGCGCTTTTTTTTTCCTTGTGGTAGTAGTTGGTGGTCGTGGTTCGTGTTTTTGTGATGATCAATTTTTTTGATGGTAACCACAGGTGATTAAGAACATCATAAATAATGTAATTACATACACGAATCCAAATATAAAATCTTAAGATTAGTATAACATAAATTAACATAACAAACATAAATTCCCTTGTTCCCAGCCACAATAATAACATTAATTAATCCACATAACAAACACATATGCCACAAGAAACCTTCACCTTCAACCCTTTTAGCAAGTTTTAGTTTAAGAATTCTCTCAAACTTTTTCCTCTTGCTTGGTTAACTTCTACTATACACATGCCCAACAACTTCGTTAATCCTTCCTAGTTTGTCACCTTCATTAACCCTCTCCACTTCATCAGCTTCATTAACCCTCACCACTTCCTCAGATTCATTTACCCTCACAACTTCCTCAACTTGTGGGTTAACTGCATCACCTATAACATCATCTTCCCCACCCACTTGAATATTCATCGATTGTATTGTTTGAATAACATTTTGTTTCTTTGTGACATTTTAGGAGACCTTGGCACTTGAGTGAAAGTGGTATTTTTGTGTCCTTTTTGTTTGCATATGCTACAAGAAACCTTTTTCCCTGCCTTTGAAACCATGTGTTTTCTAGACCTTTCAGAAGCATGCCTCATTCTTTTCATTGTTGGCCTACCTGATATTCTTCTTTTAAATGGAGTCAATGGGGGTATATAGTCTGTAGGATGCTACATGTTCATTCCATTCATGCCATTAATGGACTATTTATAGGTATAATGGAGGAAGGATCCTCGGTAGAATGGGTCTACATATGGTCCATCAGGTGTAACATTTGAATATGCTAATGTAGCTACTGAATGAACACAACCATAGCCATTTAGTTGCCATAACCTACAATTGCATTCCTTTTTTGTCACATCAACAATGTACGACTCATCTGTTTTCCATGTTTCAAACTTCATTGTAACATCCCAAAATTCAAGACCAAAAATATTATTTTTAGTTTAATAATCATAAAACCAATAGTATAAAAACTGTGACAACCCGAAATCTTTCTTTGTAAGCCAAACTTGTTTCCGCTATCTGTTACTATGTTTAGAGTCAGTTTGAGGGTCTCAAAGCCTAGTACACTCAAGAGTTGAATGTTGGGAAGCATTATCTGAGAATCAATAGTTTGCACTTGAGCCTGGAACACCCTCAAAGGGAGTTCACGACCGCAAACTAGGTTCATGGCCGTGAACCCATGATTGGGCCGTGAACCATCCTCTCTCTCTATATATATGTGATTCACACATTTTTTTCCTCATTTCTTCAAGCTCCAGCTGTGAACATCCCCATTCTCACTCAACTATCTTCAACCGTGAACACTCTTAAAGGCCTCAAAACGTAAGTATTTCATTCCTTACTTGTTCATGTTTAGAAACCCCTTGATTCTAGCCTTGATTCATCCCTTTTTCATCACCATCTTCATGGTCTTGAAGAGTTCACGGCCGTGAACCCTTCATAGGGTCGTGAACCCTTCATAGATGGGCCGTAAACCCATTAAATGTTCATGTGTTCTTGGGTCGTGAACACATCTTGGGCCGTGAACCCTTCATGTATTCATGGGCCGTGAACACATCTTGGGCCGTAAACCCATGGTGGTTTGGCCGTGAGTTTGTGTATAGATTTATACGGGAGTGACAATCCCGCACCCTGACTATTAGCTACAGTCAACCTTGGGTGACAAATAGTCAACAAGGTTAGTAACTATGTAATGACTTAGTATGTACATTACGGTAATATGAAATTAACATCTGACATGCAGTGAGATGTGTGATCTCCGCCTCATTTCGTGTTCCTTGTTTGGTTGTGAGCTTAGGGCAGAATCACCCAATCGACTGTCTGTTCGATCTGAATTTCTATAACTCATATGTACTAAGTGATCACAGGAGGGTATTAACAACACTTTCAATACACAGAACAATACCTTTTCAACTAGTTTTATTTATGTAATAAAAGTACTATACATTACTGGTGGTAGCCAGGGTTTTCAAATAGAACAATGCTTAAACAACATAAGTATGGTAGATACTTGTACTATTCGATTTGGAACAGATAATTCAATAACTTACACTTAGTGATAATATAGGATTTTCCAGGATAAACATCAGTACTTTACAAACAATGAGATTATTATTCAACTGACGAATATTCATTATTAATTCTATAAATCCTTAGTCTATACAACCGAGTTACGTATGAAGAATGTATGATAGGCTATGGAATGTGTGGTTTCCACCTCATTCCATGTTCCTGTTTGGTTGTGGGTTTAGGGCAGATCCATGCAATTAGCTATCTATTTGATATTGGTTTATATGTAACTAGTATGAAATAAGTAGTTATAGAAGGAATGGGTTTAATCATGCTTTTCATAAGAAAATATTGGATTTTCTTGAGGAACAATATCAACAGATATCAAAGGACCAATACAGTTAACTTTGTAAGTATCTAGTGAATACTTTAGGATTATGTACATAAGGATCCGAAAACCAGTGGAATGTGTGGCCTCCACCTCATTTCCTGTTCCTTGTTTGGTTTTGGGCTTGAGGGAGAACCACACAATCGATTATTTGTTCGATCTGGATTGTATATGATTTGTATACATTAAGTATTCGCAAGAGCAAGTAGTAAGAATCATTTGTTTTTACTTAACATTCGTTACATAAGAAAATATATGGTTTTCTGGAGAAACACAACACACTTTTCGAAAGAACAAACCATTTTATAAAACAAAATGCTTATGAACTCACCAGCTTAATGTTGATACTCTTTCAAAACCTACTTGTATTCTCAAGACATTAGTAGATAGGTATACACACCGAGTTTAAGAAGATGGAGAATAGTATCTTCGAGTCTTTACTTGTTATTTACTTTTGAAGTCGGTATTATATGAATAAAATGTAATGTAAGCATTATACTATTAATGCAATGGTTGTTGTTGCTTTGATTACTATTATTCAATTATTGTGATACTATACATGACGTCTTTCGCCCCCGAACGTTTCCGTCGTTCCGGTTTGCGGTGTGACAGATTGGTATCAGAACATTGTTTATAGTGAACTTAATATATCAACCAGTAAAAGATATACAACTATAAATACAATGGGGTCGAAATGCTCTGACTAAAAGTATACTTTTAAAATATAAGTATTTTACGAGAAGTATACTAACAAGCATACATACTAAGAACACGTATTACAAGAAGGACAAAACAAAAGTATTTGGATGTTGGACACTACAGTCAAACCTAGGCAGTTATGTAGTCATATCTGGAATAAATATAACATGATCAACTATATTTATTTGAGATATGGCCAACATGTGTTTAGGAGTGATGATGGTGTTGCAACAAGTCTAACACTTACCTAACTCTATATACAAAAGATCCTTAGAACAAAATATAAAGATAAAATACTATATTTAAGGCACTATAACAAAGTCACATGAAAATTAAAAGACCCTTACTGGCAGGTTTATGGTTGCGAAGTGCATGCGTACATGGTTATGTATAATTGGAATCTTATAGACTTAGAATTCGTGATCTTCGCTCTACTACCTGTTCCTTGTTTGGTTGTGGTTTTAGAGTAGGATCACTTATTCGAAGGTCTATTTGATCTTGGTTATATACAGTTTGCATGCACTGCTTAACTATAGGAGGACCCAGTTCAGATCATCAATAGCTACAGAAGAAATGATTTACTTAATCTCATAATATTCTTTAGACATTACCATTCTCGCGTGAATAACCTAGACATAGATAGCCGCTCCACTACAACCACCAAAAGAGAAGCCAATGAGGAATCATACGAGGAGGCAAATATTCCATCAAGAAGTGATGAAGATCTGTGGTAAAACCTGAAGCATGATCTACAGAGAATAGGAAAACCATAAGAGAGTCCATAGACAACAAATTCCAACAACTTAATTCAGGACCATCATAACTAGGACAGAAAACCCCTCCTGAGACGCGCAAGGTGGTAGAGCACCATATATGTCATAATAATAATTAGCTAACTAATATGATTTAGTGAGTTAGTGATTACACTGCTCAAACTATGTGTCAGGCGTATCGCCTTTATCATATAAGCTAGTAATAGTAAATCAGATCCCATAACTTCATTTAGAGAGTAGTCGCTATCAAATTCATAAGTCTATGCTGCATAGACCTCTGTTATGAATTACTTCAAAAAGGATAGAATGTGAAACACTAGAACTAAGATAACTCTGATTTAGATAACGCTTGAATTGTAATCACTAAGGACTTACCTTTGTTTCATTCTTCAAACCTTATGGCAAAAAGATGCCACCGAAGAAGTCAAACAGAAACAAGAACAACACACCACCACCGCCTCCTCAGTATGACCCGGTTGTCTTTCAGGCAACAGTAACAGCCGCAGTGACAGCTATCATGACTCAAATCAACGCAAGTGGTACCGGTGGATCGGGTAGTGGTACCAACAGCTTTAAGCACGGACACACAAATGAGTGCTCGTACAAAGAATTCATGACTTTTGGACCCAAATCATTCGATGGAAGTGGAGGATTCATCGCCCTAATGCGATGGTTCGAAAAGACAGAGTCGATTTTTGAGTTATGCGCATGCCCGGAGAAGAGCAAGGTGAAGTTTGCTGCCTGCACCTTCTCTGACAGAGCCCTTACATGGTGGAATAGCCATGTCAAGTCATTGACTCTTCCAATAGCAAATGCAATGGGCTGGGAAAATCTAAAAGAGATGATGATAGAAGAGTACTACTCGAGGGGCGAAGTGCAAAAACTAGAGCACGAGCTGTGGAATCTTACCTTGGCAGGCTCAAACAAAGAAGCCTACACCAATAAATTCAGTGATTT